GAAAAGGGGGGAAAGAAAGCCATTAACATTTAGAGTAGTTTAAACAGAAGTCTACTGTTTGTAACTAACCAAGATGTTATCATCTTTACATAGGACTCTTTTTGCAGTAAGGAGCAAGAATACACATTTCCCTAGCAAAGCTTGTCCCCTCTCTGATGATGAAAAAACACTTTTTTTTTTTTCCATTGTTTCCATAGAGTCCAACATGATTTTGCCTCTTTCTTGAGGAAAGGCTGATTTAAGTCTGGAAAATACACACTGTTCTCATCATCAGTGCTTCGTGTCCGAAGAGTTCAACCATCTGCTAATCAGTACTGCAACTCACTTTTCTTTTTAAAGTGAAGAGAAATTTTCAAAGCAGGTTTTAAATGGAAATGTTTGCAGTCTTGAAATACCAACTCTTAGTCAGTGAGAACTCACAGAAGTTTTACAGATTTTGAATGTATTTTCTCAGCTTTATTCTCTTTACTTTGACTGGGAAAATAAACCTATTTACATTGAAGCATTTTTGTGGTCATTTCTCAGTTCTGTAATGCATAAGTCCACCTAGCAGCTGGTATGTCAGATAAACAGCCACCGTCAATGCAGTAACCCTTCCTGCCCCACTTTACCATTTCCTCTCAGGTACCACTACACATACAATTAAACCCAAAAGCTACAATTTAGTAAAGTAAGGGATAAAACATCCACCAGAAAGTGAAAAGTTTACATAAGCTATATATGTGGTATAGCAAAGACTGAAATTAGTTGAAACAAAGCGCAAAAGTAAGTTACCTGTCACAGCTGGTACAGAATTATGGGAGAGTTTCACCCAGAACAGACACTGTCATTTTAGCTCATTCTTCCTATGACAGTGCTCATTCTTAAACAATTAGCGGTTTTAAAGACATTCACTGATGACCTTGCAGAGAAAAGACATAGCAATTTATTTCAATAAAATAGTCCTGCAGGTAAATTAAGACTTTACTCCAGTTAAGGCACACAATTTATTGTTAAATCTGAAATAGAGAGGTCTGAGTTTGCTAAGCCAGCACCCTTGTTGC